TACAAATGAGAACCTTTTGGTAAGAAAAGTACAAACGCAAAAAAGGAAAAAGTTATATAGTAAAGTTATAAATTGCTCCAAAAAGCCTGATTTCGAATCTGATTTAAAAAACACTTTAAAGTCGGAATTTTTTCAAATAATGTACAAATCATACCAAGTTAAACCAAGTAACCAAGTAAAAAGAGAATTGACCGAAGTTTTTTATCTTCCTCAATGTGAAAACTTTATTATTGCGAAATGGAATCCCTCGGTATAGCCGACAGCTGCATACCCTCAGTCAATGTTCGGCTATTTAAATTTATTTTGACTTGCGTTGGGATTAATCAAACTGTTGAACCTTCATAGGAGAGATTCCGAAGAAGTGGGTCAATATTTTCCATTTCGGATCTGACATAAGTCTGATAAAATATTATAACGTATCAGATTTAGATTTTATGTCGACTACTTCCTTCATTTTATATGAGATATTAAATAATTTTTCGAAAAGTTCGCGTTTTAGGAGAGTTATAATTACCTAAAATGTTGACCCGTTGTGGGGGAGGTACCAGAAGGAATGAACCGATATTGTCCATCTCCACAACAAATCTTGTGTTGATAGAAGTATTGGGATGAGTCGAGTTTGAAAGTAATCCCCTCCCCCGTTGTGGGGGGAGGTACCAGGAGGAGTGGTCCGTTCAATCCGTTCTTCGTACCAGACCTTGTCTTAACGGAAATATTGAAAATTTATAAAGTTTACAATTATTCAAAATTTTGACCCATTGTGAAAGAGGTACCAGAAGAAGTGATCTCTACCTATACTCTACCATCTTTACACCAGTTCTTGCTTAAGTAGATGCATTGGATGTGTGAAATTTGAAAAGAATCGAAAGTTCATTTCGCGTTTTACAAGCTTCACGGATATTCAAATTTAGGCCTTTGTGGGGGATGTACCAGAAGGAGTTGACATATATTCCATCTTCACGTCAGACTTTCGGTTAATAAAAATATTGTAATGTCTGTAATTTGAAGACAATCGGACTCTTACATCACATTTTATAAGTGTTATAATTATTAAAATTGTGATCTTTTGTCGGGTAGGTACTTGATGGAGTGAACTGATATTGTCGATTTTTGCACCTTTCCTAGAACTGATGGCAATTTTAGGAATTGGGAATTGGAGCAAAATTTGATTATCCTTTCTCTATTTGTGTACTAAATATATATTTTTTTAATTTCGACCAGAAGAGTAGGACCGATATTGCCCATCTTCGAGCTCGATCTAGGTTTGGCTGCGGTACTTTGGCCCATTCCCGGCGAAGTGCTTGCTTCAGTGGTTGGTCGACACTCTGTTATTTTTTAGTGCCAATCTAGCTTTCCAAAATACTACAGAGATTTTGTGGCCATTGTTCGCTGGAAATGAAGCGAGGAACCTCATTTTGTAACCATTCTTGGGTGGTGCGTGCTGAGTGCGATGGTGCTGAGTCCTGTTGGAATGTCCAAGGTCTGCGGCCAAATGTTTGCCTGCCCAAGGCTTTAATACACCCTCCAGAATATTTTCGCGATAATATTCGGCATTTATGGTGATGCCACGTTCGATTAATACGAGCGGAGAGCGACCATCGCCTGTTATGGCGGCCCACACCATCACCATGATAGGCGCTTGAGTTCTGGTGGCCAACCGAAGGTGCACATTTTCAGCTGACCTCTTTGACATGTAAACACGATCATTTTGTTTGTTTACAAACTGCTGGACAACGAACGTTTTCTCATCGGAGAAAATCAAATTCAGCAGTACACCACTTTCGGCAAAGCAAAGCAACTCTTTAGCTCTTTTGAGTCTATTTTCTTTCGGTTGCGGTGTAAGTTCTTGCACCCATTTTGGATGCAGTTTTTTCATCTCATCCTGTATAGTCACATTTTTTATACCCTCCCCCATACTATGGAGGGTATATTAACTTTGTCATTCCATTTGTAACTCCTCGAAATACTCATGTCAGACCCAATAAAGTATATATATATTCTTGACCAGCGTAAAATTCTAAGTCGATTTAGCGATGTCCTGTCTGTCCGTCTGTCTGTGGTAATCACGCTCTTTCGAACGAATTGAGATAGAAGGCTAAAATTTTGCACACATGTTTATTTTTCAGTAGGCAGGTTAAGTTCATTATGAACTTCTTATAGCCCCCATATAACGTACCTCCCTATATTCGGTATTTTCATGATTCTAGCGACATTATTAACTGGAATTGTTTCAAATTTGGTATTTGAAGTTCGAAATGGATACTACAGCCTAAGACAGAAAATTGTCTGTGCAGGTCCACGTCTTCCCCATATAACGGTAACTCTCAATATTCGGCATTTGATGATTTTAGCGTCATTATTCACTGGAATTATTTCAGATTAGGTATTCAGAGATTGTAATAGGAACTACAGTCTGTGACAGAAAATTGTCTATGCAGGTCCAGGTCTTCGTATTGGCCCCATATACAAGTACCACCCTATATTCGGTATTTTGGCGACTTTAGGTACAATACTCACCGAAATTGTTTGAAATGTCGTATTTGAAGTTCGTAATGGATGCTACAGACTATGACAGAAAATTATCTATGCTGGTCCAGGTCTTCGCACAGCTCCGATATAACGTAACGGTACCTCCCTATATACGATATTTTGATGATTTTACATTACATTATTCACCGTTTATTTCAAGTTCCGAATTTGAATTTGGTAGTGACTTATGAAAAACAATGCCTGTGTGGGTCTACGTCGTATAGACACCAATGACGGCTATATTCGGTATTTAAAAAATTTTAACAGAATTTTTTAAGGATTTTATTTCCAAATTCGTTCCAAATGGTGGGGGGTATTCAAAGTTCGGCACGGCCGAACTTACTGCTTTTTAACTTGTTCTTTTTTTATACCCTACACCATAAGGTGGTCAGGGTATTTTGTCTTTGTGCATTTGTTTGTAACAGGCAAAAGGAAGCGAGATAGACCCATAGTTCCTTTTGATGATCTGCATAGAATTACATTCTGAGTCGATTTATGTATGTACGTCCTCCGTCCGTCCGTCTGTCCGTCTGTCCATGTATTTTTGTAAACAAAGTACAGTTCGCATTTATTGTCCTATCCAGATAAAATTTCGCACAAATCATTTGTTTGGCCCAAGGACGAACCCTATTGAAATTGGAGATAATCGGTTAAAATTTAGGTATAGCTCCCATATATATCTTCCTCCGATTTACCATTTATTGTGCACCAAAAGTGTAATATCAGGCGAATGGTATGGAATTTTGCACATACAACCAGATTAGGCCTGAAAATAAGTACGCCAAATTTTATCGATATCGGTTCAGATATAGCTATAGCTCCCACATATATTGTTCATCCGATTTGTTATTTTTGTCCTCCGCAGCCGTAATATGCACTCTGTAACAACAATATTTTGGGAAATATATCAAATACAACTCAGAAATACTTTGGTAAATTTTATCGAGATCGGTTCAGATTTGGATATAGCTCCCATATAAACTTCGTCCGATTTACCTTTTATTGTGCACCAAACGTCTAATATTTGTCCAAATGGGATGGAATTCGGCACTTACGACCGAATTGAGCGTAGAAGCAAGTATGTCAAATTTGGTGAAGATCGGTTCAGATATAGCTATAGCTCTCATATATACTCTTCATCCGATTTGTTATATTTGTTACCCACAGCTGTAATATGCACTCCGTAACGACGATTTTCAGGGAAATATATCAAATACAGCTCAGAAATATCTTAGCCAATTTTATCGAGATCGGTTCGGTTTGGGATATAGCTCCCATATATATCTTTATCCGATTTCAAGTTAATTGTGCATCAAATGGGTAATACATGTCCGAATTAAATAGATACAAATGCTTCGGCATATTCAGACCTTTGAACTTTAATTATAATCATAGCGTGAGTCAATTGTTATGCGGAGCTCTACTAAATTAGCAAAGTGGTGTAGGGTATCCTAAAGTCGGCCCCGCCCGAATTTAAGACTTTCTTTACTGGTTTGTTTATTAAAAAGGGTAATATATGAAGAACTCTGTATTATACTGTTGGTAATCAATCAATAACATTTTGAACCATTTTTCAAAATTTATTTTGTTTTTGTTTATTTTTTATGGGAGTCGAATAACAACTAATCACCAAATAATGTTGACAAATGTAAAATCATTCAGCGGAAACAATAATTTTTCACGGTAATAAATTATGTCAGACCTTCGAATTACAAAAGGGAAAAAAGGGTTAGAACATACCCTTTCCCCTTCGCTCCTTGTATCCCAGCAATGATAGAGACATTTATTAAAATGACACCAAAATGAACGGAAGCAAAAAAAAAGACAAGCAATGTATAATGGAAACAGGAAGAATGGAAGGAAGTTGCAAAGAAGCAGAAGAGAAAGTGATGATGATACAACAACTACAACCAATAACCGAATCTAATGAGCAACGAAATGAAGAGATGACGATGACAATGACAAGGATGTTACTACAAATGTAATGTCGAGGATAATGGTGATGACAATAGATGTTGTTATTTTTGTTGTTGTTGTTGTGGTGGTGTGGTATGACAGTAAAGTGAAGAATGTACCAACAACAAATCACTGTGTTAGAGATGTGTACTTTGATTTCCAATAAAAAAGAAAGACAATTTATCTGTTACTACTGCATCCGTAAAAGTGTTAGGGTAGTCGTCATCGTCATCGTCGAAGTAGTAGTAGTAATGGTGTTGGTGGTTGACTGTGATTTAGAATTTACAACAAAAACCATTATTTTTTTGAAATTGTTTGGGAGGAGTGTTAGTGTTGTTTGTTTGTAACCTTTTTTCGGTTCATTTGTTTGTTGGTGGGTGTAGGAAGAAAAGTTCTAATGAAGTCAAGTGAATTAAAATTGTTTTTTTTGTTGTACAGCTACTAAAATTGAGTCATTTTTGTTGCTTTTGTTTTGATTGGGTGATATATTTTTTTTTGTATTTTGGGGTAGTTACCTTAGTTTCAGTTCCTCATCAATATATTGTAAGAGACTCCTACAAAAATATAACAAAAAACAATTGTAAAAGAAACAAAATCATATTCACATACATACAAGAGACAGTGTGTAAGAGAAAGAGAAATAGAGAAGTAGGAGAGAAAGAGTAAAAAAAACAAACAGGGGCAACTCAGTGTGTAATTTGTCC